ATAAAAAAGACAAAATTGTCCCATTTGCAACAACATACATGGACCTTGAAAGGTCTGATGTTAAGTGAAATAAGCCTTATTTTGAATAAGTGAAATAGAGAAAGACAAATACTACGTGATTTCACTCATATTTGGAAGGTAAACAAACACAGGGATAAAGAGAACAGATTTGTGATTACCAGAGGGGACAGGGTCTAGGGGGAGATTGAAAGAGATAAAGAGACACATAAGTATGGTGACAGATAAAAATTAGACTACTGGTGGTGAGCACGATGCAGTCCATACAGAAACTGATAAATAATAATGTACACCTGGATTATACAATGTTGTAAATCTTTATGATTTTAATAAAATAATGAAAAAAAGAATTATAAGGCAATTTAGAATAAGAAAAATGAGATGACTGACTATCTCCAATGCAAAACTATGCATTCTGTAGAGCACACTCTTCTGAAGTTATCTGATGGTAGCATTTTATTGCCTTTGACCTGTTTTACAATGCTTTAATTTGTAGATAATTAATAGCAATGCAAATACTTCAGGTTCATGGAAATGCATATTCTGTCTGCTGGGGGGCACTTGAAACCCCCCACCAAGCCAGTTTCACATACATTCACAAATTCATTTTAGCATTCCTTTACTCCATGTAAATGTGTGCTTCTTTCATTTCCACCTTGTTCTCCGACTAATGAGTTAAATAAAATGTAGAGTTGCTGTTCAATGGGTATAAATTTCAGTCGTGCAAGAGGAAAAAGTTCTAGAGATCTGCTGTATGACATAGCGCCTGCAGTTAACAACCCTGCACACTTATAACTGGTTAGGGGGCAGGTCCCACGGCCGTGGTTAAAGTTCTGCACGCTTCACTTCAGCAGCCCAGGTTCATGGGTTTGGATCCTGGGTGCGGACCCACTCCACTCATTGACCATGCTGTGGAGATGTCCCACATGCAAAGTAGAGGAAGATTGGCACAGATGTTAGTTCAGGGCTAATCTTCCTCCAGCAAAAAAGAAAAAAGTACAGGAGGATTGGCAACGGATGTTAGCTCAGGGCAAATAGTCTTCACAAAAAATAAAAAATAAAATTAAATAAATTGCCCACGTTCCATCCCCCCTTCCCCCCAAAAATTGGCTAAGAGGGTAGGTCTCATGTTATGTGTCTTTTTACAACAATAAAAAATATTATTTTTTGTTTAATTTTATAACTATATGAGAGTCATAATTTTATGATATAATAAATGAATAAATTTGTGTTTGCCTTGTGTGTGTGTCGGCTTTTTGTTTTGTTGCGTGTTCTAGGCATTACAAATAGGTGCCCCTGGGCAAAATAAGATGGACTGTGTAACACCTTGGGGTCATCTTAAAGGATTTGGCTGTTTCTATTAGGCAATTGGGAGCCGCTGGAGGGATAGAAGCAGAAAAGGGACACCACTGGGTTTTTAGAATTCACTGTGGCTTCTCCATGGAGAACAGACTGGAGGTGGGTAGAGAGCAGTTGAGAAGACGAGTCTCCTTAACTGTGTACCTAAGTTCCAACTATAGAAAGTGAGTCCTTGGAGGCAAGAATGTGTATCTCTCACAACCACTGTGGACTTGCTTTGAGCACAGTAAGGACAAATTACATAGCAGGTTTTGGATATGTGCCAAATGACAGGCTTCCCAAATCTATCTGAAGGTAAAATGGAAGTTGCAACTCTCACATAAAGCATTGCTTTAATTTTGGTAAAGAAACGTACATGTACATATCTTTCCTTTCCATCCATCTCCTCACAACCACAGGGGAGGGACAGTTTGGGAGCCCGGAAGTGAGAGGTGAACAAGTTTGTCTGTTTGTTTTTCTGTGTAGGGGCGGGACCCAGTCATGAAAGTGGTTTCCTAATGTGCAGAGGTGAGGTGGGGGTGGGGAGACAGATTTGAGAGGCAATGATCATGATCATGATGTCCCCGTGTCTTGTCCTTCCTCCTGGGCTCTTGAGTCCAGGACCTTCTCCTGTCCAGAGTGGCAAAGGAGCTCAAGTTTTCCTCATCCCTCCTTTCTAGCCCCCAACACTGCCAGAAAAACAGGAGTGAGGTCAGAGTCCTATGGAATGCTGGCTCTGAGGGGGATGAGCTGGTGAGCCCTGTTCTGGTGTTTGGGGGACTCAGATAAGAGGTTCCCTGGGGAGGGCCCTATGACCTGATGTAGCAGATCCTGGAAAGGTCATAAGGGAGGAGGAAGCCAGACCTCAGGGGTCACTGCTGAGCAGGGTGAGGACCGACAGAGGGGCACATGTAGGGGAACGTTGGGAGGGCTTGAAGTTCCTGTTTCCAACCCTATCAGGCCCTAGACTTCCTGCCTCTTCACGACTCTGGGGCTCTGCATAGCTGGGGTCAGTAACAGCGGGAAGTGTCTGGGCAGAGTTGGATGGGAGACCTGGAGAGTCTGAGACCACCTAGCGAGAGACCAGAAGGCTCTAGACAGAAATGTGAGAAAATGCAGAAAGAGGAACAACCTGTGGCAGAGTGAAAGTGAAAATCAGCTCAGATAGAGAAAGACAGAGAGCGTTCCTGCAGGGATGGGTGGGGCTCAGGCTGGGTGGGGGCCAGCTACAAAATTTAAAGGAAAGTTTATTTCTCTCAAGGTCTTACAACAACTACAAAATGGCATAAGGTCTCCTTTGAATGATTAATACTTTCTTATCAATAATGCCCAAAGAGTGGTTTGTTATTCTACCTAGTTACCTGGGACGCCCCTGGCTAAACCATCCTCACCTCAGTACAGCACCCAATCCGTAGCTAACAACTCTAGAGGATGAAGAACACAAGTCTGGGGATGGCAGCACACCCTGGAAGGTCCTGGACACTCCTGACCAGCATCATTGACCTAGGATGTCACCAGAACCATCCCCAGGCTCCTCCCACTCTACACTGGGGGCTGGTAAATGGTTGGGCCCCCAGGATGCTCCATCCACCATGGGACACTCTGGTCCTTGGGGAGACCCAGGCAAGGAAACTGGTGCTGTCTCTGGTGCTGATGCAGAGTAAGGATTGGAGACCAGGTATCTCCCAGCTCTGAAGAAGGGTCTAAGGTAAGGTTTATGGTCCCAGTTTGGGGCCAAGAGGGCAAACAGGTGGGGCTGGATGGAGCCAGGGGAGGAGCAGAAAATCAGGAGTGCATGGTACTGGTCTCCGCTCTCTGCTTCTTCTCCCACCTCTCCTGTTCACTCTCAGGCATTGTCCCTCCTGTGGACGATGTCTGCCCGCCCCACCTGGCTGAGCCAAGGTCAAGGGGATGTTCTTGCTCAGGCTCTGTGTTTACTGGCCTCTGTCCTGCTCCTTTAAATAGCTTACTTCATGCCAGCTGCACCAAATTAATCAAAAATAACTCTGAAAGTGAGGAGGCTAGCCTTCACATTGACAAAGGAGAAAACTGAGTGTCAGGGTCAGAACTATCAGACACTATGCCTGCATCCCTTTCTCTCATTCTGTCCACCTGTCTCAATGTCTCACGGAAGGAGAGGATAGTCTCAGGTCTGATGGGGAAGGTAAGCGCTTCCTAGACACTTATTTCTTACTCTAATGGATCCCCTTGCTGGTGGTGTGGACTCCCTTGATATTGTTAAAGGGGCTCCCCTTCCATCCAGGAGAGGGATGAGCCTACCTGGCTGCCTCCTGTTTCTCAGTCGGAATTTGGGAAACAGTGAATCTGTGTGTCCTTACTCTGTTGAGTGGGGAACAGAGATGCCCTGCCTCTGTATTGTTCCTCCAGTCTTGGGGCCCTGAACCAGCTCGTCTTCTCTTACCACCTTCCAGGGTTCTCCTTTGGTTGCCTCTTGCACCATTTACAGGATTTACGTCAATAGGGGGGAAAAGCAGGCAACAATGTGTTGATGCCATCCTGTTTGGATTCAAGTCTACCACCAATTTTTAATGTTTTCAACAGACTGGTTGACCCATAGGACCCACCCTGACATTATCGTAAACAGAAGTCTGACCCAACTCTCCCTTCTGGATGTCGGGCAGGAGGAAGTTAGGGGTCAGGCATTCTTTACACCACAGTAGAATCTTCCATTTGTTTATTTAAGGATTACTTTATGAACTTAAGGCATAACACTTTATCCCTCTCGTGGCTTGGGTGTTGCTGGTGAATTTGGGGCTATTTTTGTTTAAAGTGTTTTTTATAAAAATTAAAATATTACTGTTTGTTTAGCAGAAAGATTATGAGCTCCTGCTTCCCTCCACCTTCTCAACCCAGATATATTTTTGAGCTCATTTCGAAGGATAAGGAGGTGTTAGCCAGATGATGACTTGATGATGGGCCTTCCTGCAGGAGGGAGGAGGTACGTGGATGCACAAAGACAGTGAGAAATGCGTCCTAATGCAGGTCCTTAGAGGACGACTGGAGGGATTGATGGGTAAGCATGTGGTGATGGAGAAGTAGGCAGAATGAGATGAAGAACAACCTAGAAGAGAGGTCAGAAAACCACAGCACTTGAGCTGCCTGCTTTTGTAATAACATATGGTTGGAACGCAGCCATGTTAATTCATTTGCACATTGTCTATGGCTGCTTTTGGCTACAGACACGGAGTTGCATAAATGCATTGGAGACCACACAGCTTGCAAATCTAAACTATTTGCTATCTGGCCCTTTAGAAGAAAAGTTTCCTGACGCTTAACTTAGAATGTCAAGTTGAGAAGCTTATAAATTATTCTTTTGAGCTGAGGAGATAGAGAAGTATTTTGAGTATGGTCAGCTCTGAGCTTTAGGAAATTTCCTAAATGGTATCTGATTGTGCTTATAACAGGACTAGTAGGAGGCAGGCAGGATGGAAAGGGAAGATTCAGGAGTGGAGCGAGATGATGCTAGAGGCCATGTCAGGCAGGGATCCATGAGAGGGCTTTGAGAAGAGAGTGAACTGACATTTTGCTAATGTGGTGTCTGGGAGAGAGCACACCCAGCCTCTGGGTGAAATGTCACTAAGGCTGCTTTGTTCAAGGGAGAAGGAACTAGCATGCACCCAATCTCACAATGTAAGAGGATTTATTCTGGGTGTTTTCCATATGTACTTTTATTTAATAATCTTCACAGCAACTCTGTGAGGTAAGTCTTCTTACTCCCATTTTACAAAGCAGGAAGCCAAGACATGGAAGGGTAAGATGGCTCACCTGATGTCATAGTCTTAGCAAATAAGAGAGAATGGATTGGATCCCAGGTCTCTCTGGTTGCAAAGCCTAATATAGTTCCAGTACAGCAGGAAACTCACATGCAATAGTTTATAAACCCATTGTCTATGGGGATGTGAAGCCTCCAAGAATCAGCCTTTTGGCCCTGCTTCCTGTAGGGGATATGGACGCTCTGGCTGAGCCTGATGCTCCCGTTGGTTCCTCAGTGGGTCCTTTAGGTGTGCTCCTGAGGATTCACCCTGTTAAAGCTGAGGGATGCATAATGCAGCTCCTGCTCCATCTCCAAGGGGGAGGCGGTGCCTGCAGAACTTGTGGGGTCAGTGGGGCTGTCTAACTTAGACTCCTGCTGGTGATCCTGTGTGGAGACCAGAGAAGAGGGTCAGAGCAGTGGAGGAGGAGAGGAGAAGGCTGAGAGGCTTCAATGAAGTGAATTTGATTCTGACATGACATTTATTCTTTCTTTTATCAAACATTTTTAGTACCCACTTATTCAGTTATCTAACAAATAGAGCACTTATTGGTTTCTTTCCAATTCTACTTAACACTCACACAGACCTATGTGGAAAATATTATTATTTGACAGAGAAAGAAGCTCAGTCTCAGAGAGGTTACGTGCTTCCCAAGGTCACACAGCTACTGATCATGGTCTGTCTGAGATTTCATATGTGCTGGGTACTGGATACACGAGAAGGTGTTTATTAAAATCTACTCCTCCTCCTGTGTGTCTCTCCTTTACTCTCACACTACTGTCACACTCACAACTCTTATGACACCAGATGTGTGGGTTTTTTTCCCCCCACAACAGGCAATTCTTTGTGACACCAGTTGTGTGTCTTACAATTGAACTCAGTTCTGACACTATCTACTTTGAGATGGCGTCAGATCCCACAAGCTAAGGGTTCAGTCCCACGAGATTGCCCCCTCCACAGAAGCCAATCTCAAGTCCAAGTTGTCACCTGTGCTTCTGCCCAACCGACTATAAATTGGAGGTTCCCATGGACTCCTCCTTGGATTCAATTAATTTGTTATGGTGGCTCAGAGAATTCAGGAAAACAATTTACCTACTTTATGCCAGCTTATTTTAAAAGGGAATGATAGAGGATACAGATGAACACCCAGAGGGAAGAGGTGAATAGGGGAAAGTAGGTGGGAAGAGGCTTGGAGCTTCCATATTCTCTCTGAGCGCATCACCCTTTCAGCAACTCCATGTGTTCACCAAATTGGATGCTCCCCAAACCCCATGCTTTTGGGATTTTTATGAAGGCTTCCTCACATAGGCATGATCAATTATTAACCGCATTTCCAGACCCTCTCAAGTCTATGAAGATGGATTCAGAGATCAAAATCCCCATCCAAGAGCTAACCAAGAGTCACCACATTAAAACAAAACATAGTGCTCTCACCCAGGAAGCTCCGGAGGATTTAGGAGTAGAAGCATTTTCTGCTGCAGACTGGGTTCTCAGCTCTAGATTAACAGCAACATTTTCCAAAGAGTCGTTCCACTTCCTCTCCTCCCATTCTCTCCTGAAGTCACTCTGGTCAGGATATCTGCCCCCATCAGGCCTCCAGATCTGCTTTTGTGAAGACCAGCTGTGATATCACTTAGCTAAACTTAAATGGTCATTTCTCAGACACTAGCTTACTGGAATTATTAGCATATGAAACAAATGAGTACTCTGTCCTCCTTGAAGCTCCATCTCCCCTTGGCCACCAGGACCCAACCCTACACCCTCCTGGTTGTTTATTCTTCTTCAGTGGTCTTCTTACTGTTCCCACCTTATCTCCCTGATTCCAAACGCTGGAGGGTCCCAGGGCTCTGTCTGTGGACCCCTTCTCTTCTTTGTGGTTCCATCCACTGTCAGACCTTGATGTGAAGGACCCCCAAACCTCTGTGTCTCCCACCTGGACCCCTCTCCTGAGCTCAAAAATTTTGCCAACTACTTGTCATCCTCACTTGGGTGTCTCAGAGGTACCTCAAACTTTTATAGTAACTACAATAAAGGTTGATGTCATCTTGAAAATATACTCAACCTTCAGAGTTGCTAATTTCAGGAATTGACAATTCAATTCTTTAAGTTGCTCAAGGCAACCACATTGGAGTCCTCTTTGGTGTCTATGGACATACACCGACATCTACAATATCTATGGCTATCTGTGGCTATCCATGGACATCTATGGAGTTGTCTTTGGCATATATGAACATCTATGGCTTCTATGAACATCTATATATCTATGGAGTCATATTTGATATCTATGGACATCTATGATATCAATAGACATCTATGACATCTATGGAGTCATTTTTGACATATACGGACATCTATAGAATCACCTTTGACATCTGTGGACATCTGTGACATCTATGAATATCTATGACATCTATGGAGTTATTGCTGACAACTATGGACATCTATGAGATCTTTGGAGCCATATTTGACATTTATGGACATCTATATCATTTATGCATATCTAAGACTTTGGTTGACATCTATGGAGACATCATTGACAGATATGACACCTATGAGGTACACACAGTGAGCTAACTTTGATCATGGTCCACAAGTACTCTATCACTCCAATAACAATTCCTATTGGCTCCACCTTCAAAATGTATCTAGAATCTAACTTCTGACACCAGATTCATCATTGTTGCCCCAGAGCATTACCGTGGGCCACCTCTAGAAGAGGTGGCAGGCAGACAGAATGCCAGGATACTCACATCACTCACCAGGGAAGCTGATCTGCTGTCATCCACACTCACCACTGTCCTGGGTGCTTTCGTCCTACAGGTCTTCACTCTGATGGGAGACACCAGGGTCTCTGACACATGGTCACTCTTTTGAGGCTGTAGTGAGTGACCAAGGCAGGTCGAGGGTGCGGTGAGCCCAGGATGCTTCATAACTAGACTTTGTAACAAGGTACTCACACTCCAGGATGTCTGGAAGCAGGGCCGGGAACACACTCTTGCCTGGCTCAGGGGCTACCAGCTGGATTCTCACCACCACCATACCCCGACCCTTGATCTGGGCCCTCACAACCCCACCAGGTCCCTCTCGTCCAACTTTTGGCCCACACCCAAACCAGCTCACATGAAGAAGATGAGGCAGAGGCAGAGAGCAAGCAGTGCAGTGACACCAGCTCCCCCGATGGCCCCCAGAAGCACTCCTGTCCTTGTCACCAGTTCCCCTGCAGCTAAGAGAGACTTTGGGTGAACTCCAATCTTGATGAACAAACACATGTCTTCTCTTCTTCAACACATAGTGAAGGGCACACTTCCTCTCTTATCCAGGATTTAGCCAATGGGTCTTGCCACCCGTCATAGGACTTCAGCCTTCTCCAGAAGGACACAGTCCATGTGACACCTCCTGTCCAGTACCCATACTCCTGTCCAACAAACTCCATCTCTTCCATGACGCAAGTTCTTCTCCACTCAGGGTCTCTCTGCGGCAGCCCGTAGACCTGGCTGCAGCAGGACCATGAGGCTCTGGGCCCCATAGGAATTCCAGAGAGAGAGAGAAATACAACATAGAGAGCCCTATGGATGCTGAAAGGTTTTGTCTCTCCTTCCTTCCAGGGAGGGTGTCTGAATCTCCTCTCTTATCCTCCACTGACCCAGACCATGAGGGTCAAAGGTGATCTTTCATATCTCCAGAAGGGGGTGGAACCTGAGAATTCTCAGACCTTCATGTCAGATCCAGACAGCTTTCCTGGCCCTGCCTGGCCATGTGTCCTGGGAACCCAACACCCAGGGTGAGGGATGTGTCTCTGGGCATCACCCGTCAACAGTTTGATGGGCACTGCTGTGAAAGCCCTAGTAGGGCTCACTGTCCAGTGAGGGGACCAGATGCCATTACCCATGGGAATAGAGCATTGGAGGGAGCTGAGCTCCAGAGAGAGGTCAGGATGAGGGCAGGAGACTGGCAATCAAAAAATGGCCCAAAGAGATTTTGAGGGCAATGAAACTACTCTGTATGATACTACAATGATGGATACATGTCAATACACATTTGCCCAAACCTATAGAAGGTAGAACACCACAAGTGAACCCTAATGTCAACTGTAGACTTTGGGTGATAATGACGTGTCCATGTAGATGCACGGGTTGTAACAAACGTACGCTCTGGTGGGCGATGTTGAAATTGTGGAGGCTGTGCATGTATGGGAAAGTGCAGCGGGTATAGGGGAAATCTCTCTAAGTTCCTCTCAATTTTGCTGTGTACCTAAAACCACTCTAAAAAATAAAGTCCAGCAAAAAATTTCCCCAAGGCCTTCAGTGACTGGAGGAAGATAAAGAACGGACTTAGGATGGACAGGGAAGAGATTGTGGGTCATGCAGGCAAAATTGATGTGGGAGAATATAGGAGGATGAGGCCTGAGGGGTCCTCTCATGTCTAACTGCAGCCCCCAACCCCAGCCCCAGCATGTGAGCTCTGAGAGTCCAGCTCTGACCTGACCTGGCAGAGACTCCAACCCAGTCAATGCCCCATGGGAGGTGGCTCCTTCTCACCTGTGCCATCCCCTTGGCAGTCACCGATGGCTGGGTTCTCTGGAGCACCTAGGATGAGAAGAGGGGATTTCCCTTCTCACTGGAGAGGGTTGGGGGAGATAAGCATGGGCGTCCCCTCACCCTGAAGCCACGAAACTGCAGGAAGGACGGGGCTTGTGTCTTTCTAGGTCCTTTACTCAGCCAGGGCCCCAGGACAAAAGAACTGAGAGTCCACAGCTTGGCCCTCTGCCCCCTACATTCTCAGGGACCCAGGTATCCTAGCTCAGCACTCACAGGTGACGTCGAGCTGGATGGTCCTTTCCACAGTCACACCAGCTGCAGGGAACTGCACCTGACAGGTGAGGTTGGTGCCATGGTCCTGGGGCCGTGGGGTGAGGGTGAGCATAGAGGAGAGGTGGGTCCTAGGACCCAGGGAGGTGAGGGCAGCTGATGTCCAGGAGAAGATGGGGGGTGTGCCCCGCTCACAGGCCCAGGGCACAGAGCAGGTCAGGTTCCTGGGGTGTCCACACTCCAGCGTACCCGGGCTGAGGATGTGGGGCGTGTGGGTCAGGGCTGGTGAGGAGATGGGGAGACACGGGGATCAGAAGGGACAGTCCAAGGTGCGGCTCTGAGAGGGGCCTCAGGCTTTCATCCAGCTCCTCCCACTAAGCCCTGAAGGGTACCCCAACCCTTCCCAGAAGAGGGGTCCCATCCCAGCCCTCCCCTGAGACCCCCATGTCCTTCCCCTGTGGTGATTCCTGGATCCCGCTCCTTACCCATCACACGCACGGAGAGGTTAGACTTGTAATTCCGTTTTTCCTTTCCTCTCTCCACGCGAAAAAAGTATTTTCTGTTGTCACTCCTCCTGGCATCTCTGATGTCCAGGGAGCAGTTGTAGGTCTGGGGGTCTCCAAGGAGGTGGAATCGGCCCTGAGTCTCCTCTTGCACTTTTCGATCTGGGTTGTTTGTGGCCACAGGAGCATCACGGTATATATTTGCCCCTTCCCAGAACCAGTAGCCGTGAGCTGGGACAGTGTCAGTCAAGGAGTTCCAGGGATAGGTGAAGGTGCAGGGCACAGAGACGCACAGGCCCTCTTGCACAGACACGGATTCTTGCACTAGCAGCTGGAATCTCCCATCCTTAGCCAGGGACCCTGCAGGGAAACAAGGGTCAACTGCAGCCCTATCCCACCCACTCCCTCTCCCCTTGACCCACTCACCTGCCCACAGCAGAGGCAGCAGCAGCAGCAGCTGTAACATCTCTGAGATAGAGGGTTCTGGGCATCAGCTCTGTGTCTGAAAGGAGAATGAGAATGCAAGTAGGAGAGGACGCTGCTGGGGGACCTAGAGGAAGCTGGGGAGGAGCACGCGACCTCAGCCTTTCACAGAAGAGGAACTGCAGGCTGCAGCTTTTTCCTCCTCTGCATAGACATGGTGGACATCCCACAACCAAGAGACCCTGATACCCACCCAGGGGGGAGCAGACAAGGAGCCGACCCAGTGTGCTGCCCTGATCTTGGAACTTCCCTCTAGCCCTGGAGCCTGGACCAAGAACTCTGAGGAAACCAGAGGCTTGGGACATTGTGAGTCTAAGCACTTCCCATCTGAGGTCATTTCAGAGCCCTGTTGTCCACACTAGGGAGCTCGTCAGCTCCAGCTGGACCACGGAAGGCCAAGCCTCATCTAGACCTCAACTGGTCAGTCCTGTCAGGTGTAGGATTCTTTAGGGTCTGCATGAGTATCTGGGACAGAGGAAAGAAGGGGGTCCTAAGTGACGTGAAAGTAGCAGCCATTCATTCATTCTTTCATTCATTCCCCAAACACCAAGTGAGCATCTCTGTGTTGGGGAGGCTGGCGACAAGAAGGGAGTTGACTGACCTGGTCCGTGCCTGTGAGATGCTCCCACCCAGTGGCATCACTTCCTCCCCAAACACTCAGTCCTGTTGGGCTTTAGAGCTGCAGCCACTGGTGACTTTGCTGTGTGTCTTGACAGCACGCTGGGTATTTTCTAAAATATGATTATAGGATTTTTTTTCTTTTTACTTGTATGCTGATTCGTGAAGTTACAATGGCATCTCCAAAATAAAGACCATGCTGCGTCTTCGTGTTAAACAAAAGGGAGAACACGTGTTCTAGGAGCCAATGCAGATGAAACTTATTTTCCCTGAATGGTGTCCTTCAGTGTTGTGTGCACTGCAATACATTTTTATAGATTCTCATTATAAGGTTAGCATTTCCTGTGATGGAAAACATCTTTTCATGGTTACATGTGGGTCAGAAGGTATAATATTTCTAGAAAATGTGAGTGGAATCTATAGCTACAAATAAAATTTTAGGTTCAACTCACGTGGTTTTGCATCTCACTCTGTTGTATGCATCTGGGAAATCCTTGACATCTGTGACATAATAGCATTTGTCGCCATTGATTTGTAAAATCATTGAAATACATTAGTATCTAGATAACTCTTTCTTCAACCTTACTAACAGAGGGAGATTAGCACCCTCATTTGACACGTAAGGAATTGAGTCCCCAATAAGTGAAATAATACTAGTTCCAGATTATTTTAAAAAATGAGAATGTGGCACATAATGGAAACCCCAATGCGATTGGTTTCACAGTCAAGAAAGGAATACCAGGTTCACGGGTTGGAAGTTTCAGTGAATTCTCATTGTTTTTCTTTAATGAACCTTATAATTTACAAAAAATAAAATGTACTCGCTTGAAACTTACATTTCTATGGATTTTGACAAATGTATACAGCCCTGTTAGACTCCACGATCAAGAGATAGAACGTTTCCACAACCCCAAAATGTTTTCCCACACCTATTTGCAGCTCATCTCTCCCACCTCTGCCCCATGTAACCATTGATACACTCTCTACCTTGGGGAATTAACTGTGCCAATTTGAGATTTTCCAAGAAATTTACTCATTTGTGTCTAGATTCTCTCATTCAACATAGTATTTTTGAAATGGATCCAGGTTGTATGTTTCTGTAGTTCACGATGTTGGATGACTAAGTAGTATTCCACTATGTGGATGTACTGTAATCTTTTATGTATTCACATATTGACCGACATTTGAGATTTTTGAATTTTGGGGAATAAATATCAAGGAGTAAATCTTTTCATGGACGTATTTTTCTCCTCATGAGTACACACAAGAGGTGGAATTATTGGATCAAAGAGTAGCCACATGTTTAAGTTTAGTAGAAATTTTGGACGTGTTGTCCAGAATGGTTTTAACCTTTACACACCTGTCTGTAAAGTGCCAGAATTCTAGCAGCTTCACATGATCGTTAACACTTGGTATTCTCAGGTTTTTCAATTTTAATGGTTCTAGTGGGAGTATAGTGCTGTCTCATTGTGGTTTTAATTTTTAATTTATTTTAAATTTAGGTTGAGTTAGATTCATTTTTTTCTCATATACAGTTCTGTGAGGTTTGACAGATGCATATCGGTATGTAACCACAACCAGAGACTGAAAAGAGCCATTACCCAAGACGTTCCCTCGTGCTGTCTCTGGGGAGTCAAGTGCTCCCTCCACCCATGACCCCTGAATAGTGCTGATCTGTTCTCCATCCCTCTTGTCTTGCTGTTTACAGAATGTCGTAGCAATGAAATCAGACAAAATGTAGTCTTCAAAGCCTGGCTTCATTCACCTGGCATAATGCATTTGACGGTTCTCGGGTTATTGGGTACATGTATCAATAATTTGTTCTATTTAATTGCTGCCTGGTGTCTCATTGTTTCAACATACCCCGTTTTGTATACACTTACCAGCTGAAGAACATTTGGGCTGTTTCCTGGTTTGGAGTGACTGTGAATAAAGCTGCTATAAACAGTCACATGTAGGTTTTGTGGGAACATACATTTTTATTTCCCTTGGGTAAATATCTAGGAGTCAGATTACTCAGTCCTACGGTAAGTGTAGCTATAGCTTTGTATGAAATTGCCAAACTGTTCTCCAAAGTGACTGTACCATCGTTGTCCCCACCAGCAATGTGTGTGAGTTTTGGCAGCTCAGAATTTGGTATTGTCAGAGTTTCTTTTTCTTTGTTTTTTTCTAGTTATTCTAATAGGTGTATATCTCATCCAGGGTTTAATCTGTATTTTCCTAATAACAAATGTTGAGCATGTTTTCATGTGTTTATTTGTTCTCTATTTCTCTTCTTTGGTGAAGTGGCTGATTAAATCTTTGGTTGCTTTTTTAAAATTATCATTATGATAAAATGTACATATCAAAACATTACCATTTTAGCCTTTTTAATCCAGTCAGTGGCATTAAGTACATTCACATTGTTGTACAACCATCACCACCATTTAACTCCAGAACTTTTTTCATCTTCCCAAATTGAAACTTTGTGCCCATTATATGAATAACTCTCTATCTGCCCCCTGCCTACGACCCAGGCTACCACCATTCCATTTTCTGTGTGTCTGTGAATTTGCCTACTCCAGATGCATCATTTAAGTGGAATCCACAGTATTTGTGCTTTTGCGACTGGTTTATTTTACTTAATGTGATGTCTTCAATTCACGTTGCAGCATGTTGCAGAATTTCCTTCCTTTATAAGGCTGAATAATATTCCATGTGTTTTCTACATTTAGTGAATCCATTTTTCTGGTGATGGACCCCTGCTTTGCTTCCACCTTTTTTTCTTTTTTCGAGGAAGATCAGCCCTGAGCTAACATCTGCCAACCCTCATCTTTTTTCTGAGGAAGACTGGCCCTGAGCTAACATCCGTGCCCATCTTCCTCTACTTTCTATGTGGGATGCCTACCACAGCATGGCTTGCCACATGGTGCCATGTCTGCACCCGGGATCCAAACCAGTGAACCCTGGGTCGCCAAAGAGGAATGTGTGCACTTAACCACTGTGCCACCAGGCCAGCCCCCCACCTTTTTGTTATTGTGAATAATGTTGCTAAGAACATAGGTGTACAGATAACTATTCAAGTTCTTGCTTTCGATTCTTTGTGCACACACCCAGAAGAGAAATTTATGGATCATATGGCAATTCTATCTTTAATCTTTTTAGAAGTGCCATTCTGTTATCAAAAGCAGATGCGCCATTTTACAATCTCAAAAGGGAAGCGCAGGAGTACCACTCTCTCCACATCCTCACCAACACTTCTTATTTCTCTTATCTTTCATTTTTTAAATAGTCACCCTAATGGGTGTGAAGGGTACCTCACTGTGTGGTTATAATTTGCATTTTCCAAGTATTAATAATGTTGATCATGTTTCCAAGGGAATTTTTATATCTTTGAAGAAATGTTGATTCAAATTCTTGGCTAATTTTTTTTAATTTTAATTTTTATAGCAGTAACATGGGATTATAACATTATATAACTTTCAGATGAACATCATAATATATTTCGGATTCTGTGTAGATTACATCATGTTCACCACCCAAAGACTAATTATAATCCATCACCACACATGTGTCTAATCACCTCTTTTGCCCTCTTCCCTCCTCCATTCCCCTCTGGTAACCACCAATCCAATCTCTGTTGCTATGTGTTTGTTTGTCGTTATTTTTATCTTTTACTTAGAAGGGAGATCATATGGTATTTGACTTTCTCCCTCTGACTTGTTTCAATTAGCAGAATATCCTCAAGGTCCATCCATGTTGTCACAAGTTCCTTGGCCAATTTTTATATAGGGGAGTTTGTTTTGTTGTTGAGTAGCCGGTTGTTTTAATATATATAAAACTGGTTCTTCTCTTTATTTATGTTTTGTTTGAGCGTCCTTGATATATTCTAGATAGAAGTCGTCCATCAGATCCATATTTGCAGGTATTTTCTCCCAGTCTCTTACTTTTGGTCTCTTTGTAGCGGCTTTTACAGAACAGCAGGTCCCCATTTCCCAAGGCATGCGTTACCCATGAAGTGACCCATTAGTGTGTCAGGACATGGAGGGAAGAGCAAAGAAGATTAAAAGGGGGAATATCTGGAGTCCAGATGGGGGCATTCGGGGTGCAAAGGGTCACGTGAGAAGTGCAACCACCCAGAGATACGCAGGTCTTCATCCCTGGACCTTGTAAATGTTCTCTTTTAAGGAAGAAGAGTCTTTGCAGATGTCATTAAGGTAAGGATCTTGAACTGTGGAGATGATCCTAGATTATCTGGGTTGGTTCCTAAATCTAGTCACAAGTGTCCTTCTGAGAGAGAAGTAGAGGGTAGTATTCTACACACAGAGGAGGATGGGCACTGTGACCACAGACACAGTGTTGTGGCCACAAGTCAAGGAATGCTGGCAGCACAATCATCTGGGAGAAGTAAGAGGAGGATTCTCTCCTT